ATTTTGATAGTCGACTAATCGTGGCAGCCCTACTACACTGTGGACCATATTCATCCATTTTTATCCATCACATACACACCAACACACCAGGATATCTGAATGACAGCAATCTGGGTTTCAGCATCTTGTCCAACAACATCTAACCCGGCCTTCACGAGACACATTGACACAGCAATCAACAGACACCCTCCGCATTTTTCACCGGTCATATACTGCACTACATGACAGGTAGGTGAAGGCACTCCACACCACACACGTTTACTCTCACTATGTTAATGAGAAAGTAGACGTTTCTGCACACGATCGCTCCAGAACTGAGCAACTCGTAAACAGGACAACAAACCAGAGGAAAAATATGAAAATTAAGATCTTGAGGTTTCCTGTTCCTTTAAGACAAAGTGACTAAAAATTGAGAAACAACAAACACCGGGGAGAACAAAGAGCCCGAGTCCCCACAATGCCACCTGTGCAGGTCCTGCAGGGTGGAGGACCAGAGGGATTTGGGAAAGGAGAGGCTCCCATCTGTTTAAGCTGCTTCCCTCACACAGAGACAAACACACAAAGAAAGGAAAAATAACAACAACACAACCAACCAAACAGAAGAATCAATGTAAAGCCCATAAATCAGCACTTAGGTAAACATAATGCTTCTTCCTCCAGAGGATCGATACTCGATACACTGTCTCCAGGACATAACTGATTATGGATTGGCTGTATCAATTTTCAAAAACACAAATGTTTCATCTTCATTATCAAACACGTGGGCCTACCTTCATGCATTCGCTGTTATTGAGCAGGACATTACGGAGCTCTTTGGACACCATGTACAGGTTCCTCTTCTTGCCCTCATGGGTCCGAGTCAGGACGTTGAGTTTGGGGAAGTCGGGAGACAGATCATAGAAAGACCTAAAGGAAAACAGGAAACACGCATTTATGCTGCAGAAAAATGTTGAAAACACCTATTTTACACTGAAGACAAGGGTGCACTTACTGTATGGTGGTGAAGACGGGGTCATCATCACTTAAGAACACAAAGGGGTCTTCTTTATATCCAAACAGCCTCATCTTCTTTGAGGGTGGAGGCCTGAAAAAGGACAGATACAAAATGTTTACTTACATTTTAAAGGGCTTGTTTGTGGGTCCAAAACTGCTTTTGTTTTGTTTTGAATCTGTATTTATAACCAGTTAATAGTCATAAGTTTCCATTTATTAGTTCATGAGCTCAGTGCGACTCACCCACACATCCCCTCTGGTTTAGCATCCTGACCCACAGAAGCTCCTTTGGGCGTCTCCTCTGCCTCCTTGTCCACTTTTTCCTCTTGGCTGTTCCCCTCCACCTTCTCAGTGGAACCTTCAGGGGGGAGATGTGGAGTGTCTCCTGGTGACGGAGCCTCCTTGGAGCTGCCGGTTTGGGCAGCTGAGCTCAACAGCTTGGAGTCTTTCCTCAGCTGGAGATGGAAGAGGAGGAGAGTGAACAGACAAAGAAAAAACAGAGGAAGCTCCAGATGTGGTTAATAACCCGACCAGGTGGGCGAGGTGAGGTGAGGTGAGGCACGTGGGGTGGGGGGCAAAAGGGGGCATCGTGCGTGAGTGTTTAAGATGAAGTACCTTAGGATATCTTTTGTTCCAAGGCATCGGGGCTTTCTTCACCAGCACAGCCACAAAGAAACCTCCAGTGTTCTGGTGATGTGGCAGAATCCTCATACTGCCATAAAACACACACACAGAGAGAAAAAATAATTAAAAAAATGAATAAATCACAGCTTGGGGTTTGATAGAGCGCCCTGCTGTGAAAACAGCCTTAATCAACATGTGACAACAGCTCCCTCTGCTGCCAATATCAAGTCATTGTGAGCACTGACGCTTAAACATGACATCATCCTCCGTAATGTGAGGGTGGCCGGTGCGCCTGCATCTACTGCACACTGGATGTAAGTTTAAAAAGCACAGTTTACGGTGGTGAGAGGTGACGGTGTAGGATGCGCTCTACTGTAGTCCCTGATTTCACAATTCTGTAAAATTAAATTCTGTATTTTAACGATTCTTGAAATAAATCAGCCAAAACAAAGCAGGCCAACAAACGTTTTAAGATCGAACACTTTAATAAGCTATTTCACACCATTTTTAAGAGAACACCTTCAATTCTAAAACGCATTAGCATGGACCTGCATCTGTTTGTCTGGACTGCTCACTTACCATCTCTCCAGATGAAAGCTTGCCAGTTTCTCTGGGTCTTTTTGCGGGAACATGGTGGGTCGGATCTGCGTATGACGACTACTCGGGACCTCTGACCAGTCCGTGTACCACTGGCCTTCTTTAGTCATCAGCTACAAAGAAACAGAAATAGTCTGGATACAGATCTACAATTCAAAAGTAACGACTGGCATTAAAAAAAAAAATTACCGTAATGGTCGGGCTATAAGCCGCTACTTTTTGCACAAGCTTTGAACCCTGCGGCTTTTAGTCAGGTGCGGCTTTTCTA